TATCAGTTCTAAACTGTTCTTCCTAGAGGTCCAGTAAGGATCATCTCTTATTGATCCAGTGTTACTACAGGAGGAAACCTAAACTAAACCAACTTTATTTATACTGGATAGCTCTATCAGTTCTAAACTGTTCTTCCTAGAGGTCCAGTAAGGATCATCTCTTATTGATCCAGTGTTACCACAGGAGGAAACCTAAACTAAACTAACTTTATTTATACTGGATAGTTCTATCAGTTCTAAACTGTTCTTCCTAGAGGTCCAGTAAGGATCATCTCTTATTGATCCAGTGTTACTACAGGAGGAAACCTAAACTAAACTAACTTTATTTATACTGGATAACTCTATCAGTTCTAAATTGTTCTCTCTAGAGGTCCAGTAAGGATCATCTCTTATTGATCCAGTGTTACTACAGGAGGAAACCTAAACTAAACTAACTTTATTTATACTGGATAGCTCTATCAGTTCTAAACTGTTCTTCCTAGAGATCCAGTAAGGATCATCTCTTATTGATCCAGTGTTACCACAGGAGGAAACCTAAACTAAACTAACTTTATTTATACTGGATAGCTCTATCAGTTCTAAACTGTTCTTCCTAGAGATCCAGTAAGGATCATCTCTTATTGATCCAGTGTTACTACAGGAGGAAACCTAAACTAACTTTATTTATACTGGATAACTCTATCAGTTCTAAACTGTTCTCTCTAGAGATCCAGTGTTACTATACAGGAGGAAACCTCTTCCTAGAGGTCCAGTAAGGATGTACGATACGATTTGTTGGTATTACTTTGTTATTTAGAGGTTGAAAAGAACGAAGACTTGCGCATTGAGATCATGTTTGACCGTCTCATGTTGACTGATTTACGAGAAAATGTGTCAAGACTGGATGCTAGGTTGGGGTCATTTTTATCCAAGTGTTTTTTTACTAATTATTCAGTTCACTCGCCATCGGGTTTTTCCGGAACGGTGTATTTGGAAAAACAAACACTCGTTAGACTTCAATTGCACTCGTTCTGCGGCTTCGGCCATTTTGGTCGTCTTTGAAAAATTCACTCATGCACAGTTTTTCCAAATTGAACTCGAACCATAACTATTACCTATACTAATTTGTGTTGTTCATTATAAGCAAGAATATTTTGTGAATCTCCAGGGCATTTGCTGAGATAAAGAGCTACAAGGATCCGCCAAAATTAGTCCATGACATTCTCAAGACCGTCCTGGGAATATTTTCCATCGAAGAAGAGGAGAAACTGGATAATTGGCCGACGTGCAAACAGTTTATTAATAATGACTTAGTGAGAATGATCACACAATACGATCCTACTGCTGCTCAAGGAATGGTGGATGGCAAAAAATTATCGGAAAATCTAGAAGGTAAACTAAACTAAATTTGATTTTTTTGTGTTGGTGTAATGTACTCAGGTGAATATGATGCTTGTGATGTTACTCTGAGTGTATATCCACACCGGGCAAGCTGTAATGAGTAGTAACATCACAAGCATCATATTCACCTGAGTACATTACGCCAACACAAAAAAAAATCATGATTATTAGATTACATTGATATCGAAGGAACTAGATTCTGTTCCGAAATATCACATACTCGAGCCGACCAGACCGCGTAGCTCAGTTGGTAGAACATTGGGCTAGTATTCCAAAGGTCGTAGGTTCGATTCCCACCGTAGTCAGGCATATTTTTTCAAGCTTGCCCGGTGTGGATATACACTCAGAGTAACATCACGAGCATTAAACTTCATTTATTTATACTGGATAGCTCTAAGGAGTAAGTTACGCCCGGTGTCAAGCGAAATTCCTGACCTCTGCTAAATACCTGACCTAGCGTGACGGGTCAGAAATTTCGCGCGTACAGGCGCGAAATACATGACGCTTGCTAAATTCTAAGTCGGCCAAAACTGTTTTTTAGAGTTTAGATAAAATAATCATGATGTTAATTTCTAATACTTCGTTAAATATTTCAAATCGACATCGCTAAGTTTCAATCACAAACACTTTAAATTTCAAAGCGAATTGTGTGGTCGTGACCGCGAAATACACGACGTTTGCTAAATACGGTCGGTCGAAACGATTTTTAAGTCCATATGCGATGTTACCAAATGTTTCTAGCATAGACATCGCCAAATCTAAACGGCCAACTCATGAACTTCGAATTCATCGTTGCTGCTTACTAAATAGTGAGAAGGTCAAACGCGAACGATTTTTAGTGCTTATAGTATAGTAATGCATATACGGCATAACCTTTGAAACTGGAGTCTATTTTATATCACTAAGATCGCTTTTCGAGTGATTTTTCCTTATCTACGATTCAAGGTTTATTATAACGTTCACAATCAGTGGTATAGTGTCAATTCAGTTGATCAATTGTAGAATTAATGTTGGAAAATTTATGTATAAATAAAATGGCTTTATAAATACACGTATTGTCTGTTCAGTTGCGAAATTTATGAGCCAAAGTCATTCATGCGCATCGTCTGCGCATGGGCAGTTCTACAATAGTCAGATATTTCGCAAGTCAGGAATTTCGCGTCACACCGGATGAAACGAGGATGAGAGCGCATGAGAGTTGGTATGCGATCTTGGTTAGCTGTTCTTAATGCTTTCCCAACATTATCATGTATTCTATTTAAGTTAAAACATAGTTGGAACATTCATCACGCCTTTATTTTGTTAACGGGCATATGACTCGAAAATTGACGTTGTTATTTTTTAGTCTAATTTGAAAGATCATTGAAAACTGTAGAGTAACTTCTTTGACAGATTTTTGTTTTCTTGCTTGATTTTGGAGATATTTCATTTTGTATGATATGCAAAGGAACAACTTTCTACGTCACATATGCATAACGACTTACTTTAAAATGTTGTATAATTTTGTCACTATCAAATAAATTCGCTCAAAATGAATGACGAGCACGAGATTTGTCCACAACATTTTCTACTGATTGTGTTTAGTCGTATTAAAGATATACAGCTGTTAGGGCTAAATCATTATGCATATGTGACTTAGGAAGTTGGTGCTATGCATATCATACAAAATGAAATATCTTCAAAGCGAAGCAAGAAAACAAAAATCTATCAAAGAAGTTACTCTACAGTTTTCAATTATCTTTCAAATTAGACTAAAAAATAACAACGTCAATTTTCGAGTCATATACCCTTTAATCTAGAGCTTGAAATGCCCCCTATACTCATCCTCGTTTGATGGTTACTCGCTCCAATACTTGAGTTAGCCTGTAGCCCAGAATTAATCGAACTAAATTTTGAAGTATAAGTGTTGAATTTGGAGTTAGCCTCTTAATAGGCTATGAGGTAGCAACGCTCCATATGCTAATTAGTCGCTTTTGACATCATTCAATAAACTCACTACTTTTTCCATTAAAACTTAAATTTTATTCTTAATTTTTATTCGTCAGGAATTTCACATGGCTCTGTGAGCAAGCAAGGCTCGATGCCTGCTCAATACTTGTTCAATTGGGCCTTCGTTTGTCTCTCTTTAATCGAGCACACAGCCAAGATGAAACAGAACGCCCGACAAAAACAAGGCCAAAGCCAAGGCCAACGAACGCCCCAAGGAACAGCGTCTCCGAGTGACAATTCTACCGTGAGTCCCAGTGCCACTCAGTCGCCCGATCCTGCCAAAGGGAAAATGAAAACAAACAATAGTAATCCCATTTTATAAGAGATATGTCATTTGTAATATATTTTAATGTAATATATAAACTTTTATACACAAATCTCATATAGTTTATACAAAGCTTATACGTTTCAAGCGAACCTAACACATCCCGCCCCGTTTGCTTATGTGTGCGGCAAAAAATTGATCATTTTTCCTCGCCAAGCAGCCGTGTTCCAAAGCTATAGTCATGTCGGCTTTTGACAAGGAAAATTTTTCGTGTGTATGGCTGCCAATGAAACATTCCGTGATGTTTAACAACATTCCGTCAAGGAAAACTTGTTGACCGTATAGACGAGAAGGTATTCGTAAACTTGTTCATCTGTAGTACTGTACGGTTTTAACGTTGGAATACTATTTTTGTATTTTTAGGGTGAACATCCTGCCCAACGGCAACGGCTTTAAACTTTTATAGCGACAGTATAGACGAACCTGGATTGAATAATTTCATGTCATAATTTTCTCTCTTATTTGTTCACTGATATTATCATAGTATTTCATTTGTGATAAGATTTCTTGGGCAGCTACAAAATCCTCTGGAATGGAGAAAAGGTATCTTTTAAGTAATTTTTGAATCGCAAGCAAGAAAATAAAGGAAAACTACAGGTCATCTTCATTTTCAAGCAACAATAAAAATACGACTGTTACAGCGATAGCACTTACGCTTATTAAACGCATCTGACGCCTTTTTGGTACACAACTCTAAATTGTCTAAAGAAAAGATAACAAAATTGCAATTTTTATATTGACCTTCGATGATTTGGACATGTTAGAAGACAGAGGGCGCATCATATTACAGAATGGATAATGGAGTGAAACTGACGAAGATAGAAAAAGACCATGCTGGCTTTTACAAATTCTTCCCAGTTTCAACTCGTGATCGATGGCTTTGACCTTGCAAGCAAATCGTCAGGGACAGACGAAAAGAGTTCCTGCATATTTCAGAAGAAGTTTTTACCTTCAATTTGACTTCTTAATTTTCTCAAGGTATCTTCAGATCCATTCTCAAGAGTTTCGTTCATTTCCATAATTTCACTGAGAAACTCCACATCACTTCCTACATTGCCGTCTTGAATTGACAATCCTTGAAGTTCTAGCTAGAATTATCACTTAGATATGAAATGCCATGATGATATCTTTATTATCTAAAACTAAACTAACTTTATTTATACTAGATTGCTCTATCAGTTCCAAAACTGCTCTTCCCTAAAAGTCTAAGAGTAAGGGCCCTTACTTACAATGCATTTGAAAGGACCAAACAACTGGGCTACCAATTCTCTCCCCCCCCCCCCCCAATAAAAAGAGGTCCAGTCAGGGCCTCTTTTAAAAATTCTTCAGTGGGGGGGGGGGGCATCAAGGAAAGAGATCACTAGGAGGTGGTGAATGAGAAAAAATTTCCCCAGAAATTTTGGAAAATTTTTGCAATTTTTTGAGAGCATCTGGCTAGTTTTTCTGCATTCTCAGACAAAATGTATTACAGTTGAATAATATTACAGTAAAACACTAATTATTCTTCCTTTTTTGCCTACATTTTAGACAAAAGAGACCTTCACTGAGGGTGGGGGGAGGACTCCCCCTGGGTATAGTAACCAACAATTACTATATCATCAATTGTATACATGTTTCCTTGTTTTACTACCAGATATAATCCTCTTGCTAAAGGTTTCAGCAACATTTGATATGCTTCATTCAAAAGTGACGACTGTAGACTTGACAAGTTTTGTTCCATCTTGAAGATGAAACAACAAAAAATATGTCATTGAACATTCAGCCAAGGTTTATCAATTACAAGTATTGAAGGTTTCAATGAACTTGCATGTTATTAGTTTTAATTGTTGTTTACCTCTGACTTTAGGGAAAATTTATCAGGATGTAGTTGGCTTTGTAGACTACGAAACTGTTGTGTCAGCTGTTTGGTGTCCAAATCAAATGTTCGTTTGCTAAAAGGTATTAAATACTCTGAGAATAACATGCTAAGTACATTCGATTCTGGTCAAATTTTGATGGTTTTCTGGCTACCTCCACACGATTAATATGTCTGATACCTTCTGCTTAGTAATACTGGATCAATAAGATGACCGACAAATAACATCATTTGATATTTGATGAAGTAAAATAAGAAAGAAGCCTTACTTTATTATGTATTATTACTGTATTTACTCTGTCTAATGCCAGACAATTTTACTAGTCAAGGGGAGGTCGAATGCTGGCACTTAATGCATTAACAAAAGACTTCGACAGATAGTAAGCCCATTAATGCCCAACAATTTCATCTATTTTTTTCTTTTCTGAGATATATTAACCCTAACATCAAGCCTCACAGCATAACATCGTCCCCACATGCAGCATACTTTAAGCATACCAGTTCATTATATCAAAATATGTTCTATCCGAAATCAGTTCTTGTACAACATCGCATGACGGACAGAAAAATACTGCTTCACCATTAACACTAGCCAAATAACTGTAGCTACATTTCCAGCATGTTGCTGTGGGCACATCACATAATTTTCTAGTCCTTGATGGTGACATAATAACTCGCCCAGAAAAATAAGCAAACTTGTTTGTTGTCGTACAAATATGTCTGGATTTTAACAGAATAGTCCTGAAATATACAACTTGATTAAGGCATCGAAGATTCCTGAAAAACACACTTCCAAAAAGTCTTGTTATTCGATTCATTTCCTTCTAAATCTTGCTATTTTCATTCATCCACTTTTGATCATGTTGGCCCGATTTTAAGGAGGACAGCCCGCATTGTAGGCACTTAAACTATATATTTATTATGGTCGAAAATAATTTGATATGCTCATAAAGGGTGTTTTGTTTTGCCGAAATATTTCTTTAAACTTCTCTTATAACGTAGAAAATGAAGTTTGAGACGAAAAATAAATGAAAATGAACGAGAATTTAACTAATTTTGAGGCCAAAACTCGCAGAATATATTGCCTGAGTAGCGGGCATCTGCCCTAAAATCGGGCTTTTGTCCGAACTTTGAACTGGCGACAAAAATATAGTAAAATTTTGTAAAATGAATTCTCTTCAAAAACTTGGAAATTTTTGCTGTTTTTTAGCACTGAGAACTAGGCAAAGACCTCGGCTTGGTGTTAAAAATGTTCGTGCTATTTCCTACATGTCGGGTTTGCCTGAAACTCACGAAATGCTTCGACAAACGTGTCGAGATTTTGCTGACAACGAGCTTGCACCAATTGCTGGAAAGTTGGACAAAGAATCACTCTATCCTAGAGAACAGGTATCAGATATTTAGATTTGTAGATGATGTTGCGTTGCCCGACTTCTATATATAACAATATTTCAATATTTAATAACTTTGATGCATGGGCAGCTGGTCAGGATTGCCAATTTACTGGCGATTAGGATTACAATAGGATCAGGATTACTGGATTAGGGCTGGCATTTGCTAATTAGGCCAAATTTCACCATAAACTAAATATCAGGGCTTGAAAAAACATTCCCAAAGTCCCCGATCATGGTGATCGGCAGTCATGACTTTCCCTGCTTTTTCAGGTTGGAAACCCTGCTTTTCCGCCACTGAACTGTAATTTACAGTTCACTGTTATTTACAGTTCACTGTTTTCAGCCAATCACAAATAATTTCTTGCCAAGTGTTGATCGTTGATTTGCTGTTATTTCAAGAGGGTGTTGATGGTTATATTGCGAGTCTTGATTCACTCAATTTCTGTTACCGTCAGTCGTGAAAACACTAAAAATTTAGCGTGAATCGTGAGGAAAAAATACTGTTTATCGTTTCAGAACACTTTTCAAAAATTTGCC